TTTTACCCATAAATATGATGTTAGCTGTAGAGTTGTGTTTTTGTTTTGTTTTCTTTTAAGGTGGGCTTTATCTGTTTGAAGAAGTTCCCTTCTATTCCAGGTTTGCTGGGTGTGTTTATTATGAAGGGATGTTGAATTTTGTTAGATACTTTTTTCTGCATCTATTGAGATGAACAATTTTTTATTTATTTTGCTTTTTTTCTGAAATTTAGTGAAATTCATTTATATTTGAATGTTAAACCAGTCTTGCATTCCTGGGATAAACTCCACTTGGACATTTTGTATTATTTTATGCATATTGCTGGATTTAATTTGCTCATATTTTGTTGAGTGATGTTGATCTAGTCAGTTTTGTTTCTCATCAGCTTTTTAGTATCAGGGTTATCCTAATTCATAAAGTGAATTAAGAAATGATCTATCTTTCTCTGTTTTCTGAGTTTGTTTAAGATTGGTATTATTGGGACTTCCTTGGTGGCACAGTGGTTAAGAATCCTTCTGCCAGTGTAGGCGACACGGGTTCAAGCCCTGGTCCGGGAAGATCCCACATGCCCGTGGAGCAGCTGGGCCCGTGCGCCACAACCACTGAACCTGCGCTCTAGAGCCTGCAAGCCACAACTACTGAGCCCATGTGCCACAACTAACTGAAGCCTGTGCGCCTAGAGCCCGTGCTCTTCAGCGGGAGAAGCCACTGCAATAAGAAGCCCATGCACTGCAACGAAGAGTAGCCCCCACTCACCGCAACTAGAGAAAAGCCCGCGCGCAGCAACAAGAACCCATTGCAGCCAAAAATAAATAAATATATAATTTAAAACAAACAAAACCACTTAGATATGTCACCTCTTGGGAAAAAAAAAGATTGGTATTATTTCTTCCTTAAATGTTTGATAGAATTCACCAGTGAAGCTATCTTGGCTTGGAATTTTCTTTTGGGAAATTAAAAAATTTAATATTAAATTTAAAAAATAAATAGAGTGTAATTTATGTTTTCTGTTTCATATCTTTCCTTTCCTCTACTTGATTTGTCCTTAATTTGATCATCATTTTCCAGGTTCTTAAAGCTGAGGCTTTTTTTGGGGGGGGGGGGGGGGGTGCTGTGCCATACAGCGTGTGGGATTGAACCCCAGGCCATGGCAGTGAAAGTGCTGAGTCCTAACCACTAGACCACCAGGGAATTCCTGAGCCGAGGCTTATTAGATCATTGATTTTAGACCATTTATTCTAACATCATTTAATGCTATAAATTTCCTTCTATGCTCTACTTTACCAGAATTCCACAAATTTTGATGTATTGTGTTTTTATTTTCATTAAGTCATCTCTGAGTCTGGCTCTGTTGATTACTTTGTCTCTAGACTTTTTTATGTGGTCTTTGTTTTATTTACTTATTTGCTTTTTGATATGTGTCACAATTTTTGGTTATCTGTAAAATAGTAAACGCTGAAGTAATTAGATTTACATCCTGTATGTGTATACCTCTTATGTGGTTGTTAGTGTAGGGATTTAAGCCAATCTAATCTGCAGTTGAACTGGAATTGAGTTTTTAGTTTGATGTAGTTAACTTCATTGCACCGGAGACCTCAGATTCCTCTAATATTGTCTGATGCTTAAGGTGAAGGTGAAATGTCAAAGATTTCTTCTCAGTGTTTGTGCTTCACTCTGCATGCCTGCTCCAAAGAGGGATTTCTCTCCCCACTTTTGCCCCTCCTCAGTGGTGAGCTGGTGTTGCTTATTACTTAGTGCTTTCAAAATTGGTAGAGGAGAAGGGACAGAAAAAGTTCTTTGTTATTGTGGTATAGTGTTGGTCTTAGGTAGATAGCTGGGTGTGTACCAGGGTCTCGGGGATGGGATTTTCTCAGAGTTTCTGCTCCCACCCCCAGCAGTAGAGAGCCTCTAGCGCTACTGATACAAGATTCTGGGCTCAGGACAGTTCTTGTCCCCCTTCTTCCCAAGGATTGAGGATTTTTCCCCTCTTCCAGCAACATGGCATAGAATTTGCTTCCCCTTCCTCAGTGGCTTAAAGTTTTTGCTTTCTCTATGTGAGAGAAGGATCTGGACGGGGTGGCAGGCCTTGTTTCTTTCTCACAGAGGCAGCCAATGCCTTGCACCACTGAGAGAGTCTCTTGATCTCCTGCCCTGTTTCCACTCATCCTCCTGGGCACCCAGTAGAGGTCTGTGTCAAGAGTCTATGAGTGAGTGCAAACTGTCTGAGGCTCCCGGGGGTTTTATCCTCTCAAGTTATCACATACTCAGCCTTAAGCAATTTCTTAGAATTTTAGCTGATTTCTTCTTCGCTGCTTGTATGACAGTGCTAAACTCCCTCTTGCTCTGCCATGGTGACCCATTTCTTTGGAAGTATCTGTCCATCCTTGGACTTCAGGCTACTTTGTTATCTTGTGACTTTAGCTCTCTGATGGATACAAGGAGAGTTTGGGGTAATTTAGAAGTGTTTTAATTGCCAGTTTTCTAGGATTTTCCAAATATATTTTTGTTATTGACTTTTAGTTTATTTCTGTTGTGGTCAAAGAACATACTTTGTATATGTTGGATTTTTTTAACGATATTTATTAAGGCTTGTTATATGGTCCAGGTTATGATATATGTTAGTGAACATCCCATGTACAATTACTGGGTGGAATGTTCTATTTTTTCTTTCCATTTTATTGGGATATAACTGATATATAGCTCTGTATAAGTTTAAGGTGTACAGCAATAATGATTTGACTTACATACATTATGAAATGATTACCACAATAAGTTTACTCAACATCCATTATCTCATATAGATACAACATTAAAGACATAGACAAAAATTTGTTTCCTTGTGATGAGAACTCTTAGGATTTCCTCTCTTAACAGCTTTCATACATATAACATACAGAAGTGTTAACTATATTTATGTTGTTTTACGTTACATCCCTAGTATTTATTTATCTTATAACTGGAAGTTGGTACCTTTTGACCCCCTTCATCCACTTCCCCCTCCCCCCACCCCCACCTCCGGTAACCACAAATCTGATCTGCTTTTCTGAGTTTGTTTTTGAAGTACAGTTGACCTATAACACTATATTAGTTCCTGGTGCAAAACATAATTTGATATTTCTATACGTTTCAAAATGATTGCCATGGTAAGTCTAGTTGTCATCTGTCACCATACAAAGATATTGCATAATTATTGACTATATTTCCCACACTGTACACTTTCATACCTGTGACTCATTTATTTCATAACTGAAAGTTTGTACCTCTTTATCTCCTTCACCTATTTCTCTCCTGCCCCCACCTCCCTCTCTTCTGGCAACGAGTTCAAGTTGGTTGAAACTGATGTTCAAATCTTACTCACTGATTTTGCCCTTCTTTTTTTTTTTGTAAATCAGTTACCAAGAGAGGGGTGTTAAAACTTCTAACGATGATGGTGGTTCTGTCAATTTTCCCTTCTTGTATTTTGAAGCGCTGTTATTTGGGGTTGTCATGACTTCTTGATAAATTAATTCTTTTATCATTATGAAATGTACCTTTTTTCCCCTCTGGAGATGCTTGTCTTGAAATGTACTCTTAAGAGTAGCCTCCCAGTTGCTGCTTTCTGTTGGGGTGTTGTCCGTCCCTGTCCCCCCACCCCAAATCTCACTTGTGCTTTCATGGTTTAAGAGTTAGCGAAAGAGGTGGGGGGGATTTACATGCAGATTTGGGGACTTTGTCCTCAGGATTCCTTTCTGGGATTTTTCTTCCTCATTGTCTGCCATGTTGGCAGCTTCAATCTCACACTTCTCTGTCTGATAAAACTGTTGCTTTCTGCATGTGCTACATCCCCTACCCCTTATGCTGCTTTGGAAGTACTCCCATGTTAAAAAAAAAATGTGGTTCTCAACATGTGCTTTCCTTCTTTCAGAGATTGTGTTCATTCTTGTTTCTGCCTGCTTTGGGTTGATCGCCAGTGTTTTTAAATTGTTGTTTTTTTTAATATACTGTTCAGAGAGTATAACTGTTATTGTCAGGAGGATTAGTCTGATAAAAAGTACTCTGCCATATCCAGCACTAGAACTCTTGTAGTTTCTTTTAATTTAGAATAACCCCCACCTTTCGATCTCATTACCTTGACTTTTTGGAGAGTCCTGGCCAGTCTTCTTGTAAAGTTCCTACAATTAGGATAATTGTCTGTTTCCTTATAATGATGTTTAACTTGTTCCTCTTTTCCTGTATTTCCTATAAACTGGAATTTGAGTCAAGGACTTGACTAGATTCAGGTTAGACATTTTCTTGGTTCACAGATAATGTCTGTACTTCCTGTTGCATTATATCAGCAGGAAAATTTTTTTTTTTTTTTTTGGCCGTGCTTCGAGGCACGTGGGATCTTAGTTCCCTGACCAGGGATCGAACCTGCGCCCCCTGCAGTGGAAGCGCGGAGTCTTAACCACTGGACTGCCAGGGAAGTCCCAGCAGGAACATAATATTTGATTGTCCCAGTATGGGTGGTGGTTAGTTTGATCACTCAGTTAAGGTGGTGGTCTCCACTGTTAAGTCTTGTTTTCCCTTTTGTAATTAGTAAGTAATTTTCTAGTATGGTAATTTGCACTGTCTTCATTTTTCACATCCTACCCAAATGTCATCCTCTTAGTTTATTATAATCAGATGCCACTATTGAGTGATGGTTAACAAGCATTAGCTATTCTTACTATTATTTAAGTCCCATTCCCAACCAGAAGACTTTATAGTTTCTAGTCTTTGTATAATATATATACTTATGGTACATATCTCCTATTGTGTGGTGGTTACATAAATATTTTTTAATGGATTTTGAGATACTAAATACAGATATCACATCTTATAAATCTTGGTGTTTCCCGTAGCACTTAACTAGCATTTTGCATATGGTAGGCACTCAGTAAATTATTCTTTTATAGGAAGAGAAAATAGCTAAGAAGTCTCAATTCTATTTAAACATTTTTCAGTCTCTTTCTTAGGTACTGGTTAAATTTAATGTTAATTACATTTTTGTTTTTTGTAGGTAAATGAGAAAACTGGACAGATTATACAATATGATAAATTTTATATACATGAAGTACAAGAATTGATAGACATACGGAATGATTATATCAACTGGGTCCAACAGCAGGCCTATGGAATGGTATGTTTCCTATTGCATTTTACGGTTTCATTTTTATGTATCATTTGTTTTAATACAAAAGGAACAATTGTGTATTTTTGAAACAACAAAGCTTTTTCAGAGCTTTTATTCAGAGCTCATTTTTTAAATAAAAGCATATTGCAAAGGAGCAGTTATATATTATACAGTATTTATAAGTAAGCATTCTGCTCTTATACCAAAGCCAAACCAAAGAGATAGATTACACTTTTCTACAGAAAAATGCAAATATGACTTATTTTTCTAAGTCTCATTTATTTTGCATGAGGTTGTCTCTTAATTCTCTAATGTTGAGGATACTGGAGTCTCTGATACTTGAACTCTAAGAACGTATTAAAATTGTGAGATCGGTGCCTCAGAACTACCAGAAGTGAGCTGTGGTACCATTGATTCTAGTTTTTATTTTTCCCCTTTTATGTGCTTAATTTGATTTCAGTTTTTTGGCATACCTCCACAAGTGCCACATATTTCTTTCCATGTGGCTAAGTCTCTAATAACTAGATACTTAATTAAAATAATAGCATAGGGACTTCCCTGGCCATCCAGTGGTTAAGACTCTGCACTTCCACCGCAGGGGGTGAGGGTTCAATCCCTGGTCAGGGAACTAAGATCCCACGTGCCGCATGGCCAAAAAAATAAAATAAAAATAAAACTAATATCATAGTCTTATAAAACTTTAATTAGTCACACAAAATTTCAGTATAGAAATTGCTAAGCAGCTAGATATAAAACAGGTTTAGACTCTTATTTGCTAACCATTATAATATACTTAAGGCCAACTTTTCCACCCCTGAAGCAGGTAATTTAAGCAACATGCTTGTAACAGTTCTAGGAAGGTGAATAGCCTTTCATTGCTTGCTAGGTACCAACTGCAAGCTCCTTGTGGATAGGCACTCTGTCAGTTTATTCACCAGCACTTCTTACAGTATCTCAAATATGTCTAGTAGGCACTTAGAAAGTACAGTAGTTTTTGAATGGCAGTGCAGTTAGTGCATGCTGTTTTTAGGATGCTCTTACCTATAGGAATCAGGTCACTTCTAGTACATGTTTGCTTCCCTAGATACTTGGATCTGGATTGGGAGAGATTTGTTGATTTTATTTTTTCCTGCAGAATCACTAGGAGACTCAGTCAAGTTTACAAACATCCTACAGATTTATGTCTGCTCATTTGCATATTCAACAAATACTTATTAAGACTCTCCTTTGTAACAGGCACTTATTTAGGTATAAGAAATACAGTGATTAACCAGATGGATAAGGCCCTGTTCTCATGAAACTTATAATCTAGTGGACAAGATGGATAGTAATCAAGTAAAGCAAAAAAAAAAAAAAGCTTATAATATGCACTATATAGAAAATTAAAATAAGAGAAGGTAATAAAGACAGGATGGTTTCTTGTGATTGGGTAATCAGAAAAGTCTTGTCTAATGAAGTATGATCTGTAATCTAAATGACAAAAAGCAGCCATGTAAGATCAGAGCAAAGAAAATTTCAGGAAAAATTACATCTACTAAAAGACCTTAGGTGAGAGCAAGCTTGTCATGTTTGAAGAATAGAAAAAGGCCAGTATGGCTAAAATATGGGAATGGGGAGAGTTCTGGGAAAGGATCAGAGAAATGGGCAGGTGCCAGATCATGCAAGGTTTAGTAAATTAGGGTCGGGGACATGGATTTTATCTGAAGTGTTATGGTAAGCCATTGGAGGGTGGTAAGCAGGGGGTGAATACTGTACAGTGTAAGTTATATTCTGAAATAACCACTCTGTCAGCTTTGTGGAAGATGGAGTGAGGGGAATGGAGTAGATAAGGGGAGAGAAAATGATGGGTTTGACTAGGATTGGTAGTTGTATAGATGGAAGATAGAAATGGACTTGGGTACCTCTTGGAGGTAAGACGGCCAAGAATTGCTGATGGATATGAGATGAGGAAAGGAGAGAAATCAACAAAGGAGGTTAAGAGAGGTAGGAGGAAAACTAGGAGAGAGTTGTGGGAACCAAAATTGAAAAGTGAAGGAGAAACCATATTGAACGCTGCTGAGAAATAGGATAAAACCATAGAATTGATCAATGTATTTGGTTACGTGAAGGTCATTGGTAACCTTGATAATGCGTCTAGAGTAAGTATGCTTAAGAGAAATTTAGGGGTGAGGATAGGGAACAAAAGCCATAGGCAGTACTCTCAAGAAGTTCTGTGCTGAAGAGAAGGGAGTAAAAAAGTAGGGTGGTTAGCTGGTGTCAAGGGACAACAGTTTTTTAAGAAAGAAAATACTTGACCTCTGGAAAGCTTTGAATAAATATTTCCTTTTTCCTTCCCTATTTAAACTAAAGCTCTCACCTAGATAAAGCTTTTCAAACTCTTCCTCCAGTGAACCCCTAAGACAGGAGAAAAAACATATTTCTTGAGGTTATTAATTTTCCCTCTGCAGGATTTGTGTGAAGTCTCATATTTTATCTTCAAGAGAATGCAAATTTGGGGCTTCATAAATATTTACTGCAGGGGGGTGGTGGTATGATGAATTAGGAGATTGGGATTGACATATATACTCTAATATGTATAAAATGGATAACTAATAAGAACCTGCTGTATAAAAAAATAAATAAAATTCAAAAATAAATAAATATTTACTGCAGTATAAAAGGGATTAAAATTATTTACCATTGAGGAAAACTGATGATTCAGAAAATGAACTTTTTTTATCGAAAAACTTGCATGTAAACCCTGATACACCACCTAGATGCCCTAGGTCTTTGAGCAGTGTTTTTGAGACTGGAGTGATTATATAGACTCCTTTTAAAATAAAATAATTCCTTTAAGAAGCTTAGTGTTGGGCTTCCCTGGTGGCGCAGTGGTTGAGAGTCCGCCTGCCGACGCAGGGGACACGGGTTCATGCCCCGGTCCGGGAGGATCCCACATGCCGCGGAGCGACTGGGCCCGTGAGCCTGCGCGTCCGGAGCTCACTTACCTTATTTACGATTATCTTATTTAGATATATACAAACACTAAACTAGTTCTAAACTCCTGGTACATAGCTTTTAAAAGAATTCTTAAGGCATAACAAATTGGTAAATTAATTATAACTCTACAAATTTAATAATCAAGTTAATATTTGATATGGAAGATGATTATGTTCTCTTGATCAGGAATCTCAGCTCACAACGTAAATATGATAAGGAAGGAGTGTGACATAAGAGCACCTAGCTTTATATCCCACCTCAACATTTTCTTTTTAGTTTTTTTATTGAATATAATTCTTTGTGCTATACAGTAAATCCTTGTTGCTTATCTATTTTAATGTATAGTAGTTCGTAGCTGTAATCCCCTACTCCTAATTTGTCCCTCCTCCCTCCTCCCCTTTGATAACTGTAAGTTTGTTTTCTGTGTCTGTGAGTCTCTTCTGTTTTGTATATCGATTCATTTGTATTATTTTTTAGATTCCACATGTAAGTGATATCATATAGTGTTTGTCTTTCTGTCTGACTTATTTCACTAAGCATTTCACTCTCTCCTGGAGAGTTATATCCTCTTGGATCACTGTGAATTAGATCTGATGTTCTTTGACATCCGAATTTTTTCTGGTATGTAGATCATAAACTACTTGTATTCTGAACAAGTTAAGAGAAATGCCAGTCTAATAGGATTTTTAAACTAGCTGTAATCTTGTGCTACATGGAAAAGCTATGGTTTGAATGTTTGCTTTTAAGCTTGGCAGACTTGTATCCAAACTCCTCTTGGTATGTATCTGTGATGATATCAAATTGAATTTCCTTAGGAATTCTTTCAGTGCTACTGTTTTCTGGTAAGAGGGAGACAGTAGAGGACCACATTCTTATTTCTAGACTTTCTAAGTTGATATACTTGAAAATTGCTCTACTATTTCAACCACATGTTTTTCCTTTCTCTCCATTTGTAGACAGACTGGTATTGAATAGGTGGTTGTGGCAGTGGAAACTTGTTCTTTAATGTGCATAGTGGACTTAATGTCACATCTTAGAAATGAGAATCTAGAACCCGTGATTTGGGTTCTTCTAGTCTTCCGGAAATAGAAAGCTGACAATTTACTTTGAAGGTCTTTGACTAACTCTTAAGTAGTTTATTAATTTATATTATGACATCTGAAGGTGCTTCTTTCTTTGAGAGAGCTCAGATCACTTTCACATTTACACATAACACTAAAGACTTTTCCTGAGGCTGTTTAATAAAATTCATGCTTGCATTACTAGTCTTAATACTAGGTTGAACATCATGTTGGCCCTGTAAGTAAAGTTAGTAAAGTTTTAAAGTGTCTATCCTAAAGATACTCATATGCTGTTTTGTGATTATATAAATGTGTATATGTGTATTTATGTGCACATAGACATATATACACATATATATGTACTTATATCTATGTATACAATGTACATATGTGTACCATTATTGAACAGGAGTTATCTTGAAATAATTCCATTCCTTCATGTGAAAGTTTAAAATATTCCTTGATAGAAGATAATTACTATGAATTATAAGAAATATGTCTATAAATTGTATTTATATATATACACATATATTTTATATATAAATATATACACGTATATATGTAAAACTTTACCTTGTTCTAAACACTGCAAGAAAATTATTTTACCTTTATTATATTACCTTTATTATATATTACCTTTATTATATTTCTCTTTATGCCATAGTCTGTTGAGATTTCTTTCTCCATTTCCTTTCTTTCCCAGTCAAGGATTTTAAGAATCCATCAGGAATATACACCTTAAACTAACACAGTGCTGTATGTCACTTATATCTCAGTAGAACTAGAAGGAAAAAAACAAAATAAAAAAGAGAACCCATCAGGTATATACTTGCCTGGTCTCTAAACATTAAAAACTAATTCTGTGAAATTCTTTGCATTCCTTGTAATATCCTCTTGTACAGCTGAGACTAACTTTTCACCTCATCCTCTTCCATTTTCCCATCTTGTTTCACCTGTTTCCCTTTTCATGTTTCCATGAAGTTTTTGCTTGATCCTCCTACTCCTGCTGGTTACTGTATAAGCTTCTCTGTTTTGATTGTTTTTCCAGACTCTGATATTAGGGTATGGCATTTTTTCAGTTGGATTCCTTTTGCTTTTTATCTGTTTTTCTCCCTCTACAATAATTTCTTGGCAAAATAAAAGAGCACATGAGTTCTCTCTCTTTTTATCTTCTGCTATTTGATGTTTTTCTCCACTTTCTAGGTATTAGTCTCAGTTTATTGGCTTACCTCTTTTAACTTTGCTCTAAAATTGTTTATAAAAATACTTTAGTGGGGAATTCCCTAGCAGTCCAATAGTTAGGGCTCCATGCCTTCACTGCCAAGGCCCAGGTTTGATCCCTGGTTGGGTAACTAGGATCCCACAAGCTGCACGGTGCGGCCAAACACAAACAAAAGAAACAAAAAAACTTTAGTGGTTACAACTAAACTCTTTGCTCTTTTTTCTTCCCTTGCTTATACTTTTCGTTACTGTACATATGTATCAATATATATCTAGTTAAAAATTGATTAATTTAGAATAAAGTGTAGAAAGGTCTATGCTGAGTCTGTGCCTCTTATAATTAAAAATCAAGTTAAGCATTTTTTAAAGTGCATATTCTCTTATTTCAAGAACTGTATGCCTATGTAAGAAATGTCAGATACAAGTAAGTACTAATAAATACATTTGATAAATTGGTGACATTTTTACAGTCTTTGATATTACACTTTATATATTTTTAAGTCATAAATTTTACTTCAATATTAATTGTGCTGTGTTTGTAAATCATTACTGTATTTCTTCTGTGGCATTAAGGTTTTGTACTTTAACTGCGGACAGTGCTGAGCTAACATGACATGCTCATCAGCAAACTAGGAAGATAGACTGACATAACAGCTAGGGAGACCAGCTTTGGGAAGATAGGCCAGTACTTAACTTTCTAGGTTTGAGTTTCTTCCTCATTTAATGAAATGAAGAAATTAAAATACATTTGTGTTCTTTAATATTGCAATACATTTAATACTTGCAGTATAAACCTTGCAGCTATAATATTTCCCAGAAGGTTCATACTAGCTTTTTAAAGTTCCCTTGTCATTTTTAATGGCATTAATGTTTTGCAGACTCTTGGACTGATTCCTTATGCCTTGAATTACCAAGTTATATTGGTTTATTTTTCATTTTCTTCGTGTTTTAGAAGTATCTTTTTTTTTTCTGCCTAGTCACCAACACCTTTCATATTTATTTGAATTACTTCAGTAACTTCGGTATCCTCTGTTTATACCTCCTCAGAATAATCCTATGTTATACCCTTAAATAATGATTTCACCAGCAATGATACAGTGTTTTGCCATAAGTAATTTGTTGAAACTAAAACATGCCAAGGAGTTGCATCTTTTTTGTCTATAACTAACTAGAACTATCATTAACCATTGATGTTAAAAGCAGCCTTAGTGAAAGTCTGCTTTGGACCATGAGACCCTGACTTTTGAACATTCCTTTAGGTCTTTCTTACTCAAGTTTCTAGGACATTGGGTAACTAAAATTAGGCATGCCTTGACCTAATTTCAGGGCCCTCAGTCTACAAACAGCCAACAGTTAGTGCTTGAGTATGTGGATGTGGAGCCACTAGTAGGTCACACATTGAATGATGTGGTAAATTTTTAGCAATAGACCTTTCATTGACCTCACGTATTTTGTAATATCCTGTCCGCACCCCCCACCACATTTTTTCCTTCTAAATTTTCCTTGGAAATACTACTTTGGTTCATTTAGAGTTTCAACTAATATAACAACTATCTTGCAACTCTAATATTTCCCAGAGGAGTTTATCCTTGATTTTTTACATATTTACTTTTTTTCTTTTTAAATGTTTGAGCTTTTGTCTTAGATCCTTAACACTTAAATTGAAATTTCTAATGATGACCTTAATATGGTTTTCCCTTTGATGGCTCTCCCCTAGGTAAATCATTTTGCCTGATATCTAATAGTCTCTTTTCCCAAGTTTTCCACATGTCCCATTATTTTTCATATTCCTTCTAGCTCCCATCTGTCTCTACCATCAAACTTTTGTTCTGCTTTAATATGGTTTAGTTACACTATAAATTATGACTATCTTATTGGCTTCCCAGTGCTAAAGGATATGCCTAGAACCTTTATCTTTTACATGTAGCAATAAAAAGTGCATATATAGTAATGTTTCATTATTAAGAATAAAATCCATCTTCCATGATACCAGGTATCAAATATAGTTTTCAAGCTGGCCATAGGTAGTCAGAAAATACTGAAAGGTGTTTCTTTGCTTATTCACACCTTCTTAGCTGTAACAGCACTTTAAAAAACATCCCACAAGATATACTATAAAAGTATTCAGTTGTTCCTGTTAAATTGCTTTAAATTAAACTGAGTGCAATCTAAAAGGGTTTTTCTGCAAACAGCTTGTAAATATATTCTTCTGTTAACGTGCCCAATGGGGTACGTATATAGTGATAACCTGGTACTCTGAATTTTTTGAAAGAAGCTATTATCAATAATTACCTTTCTCAGAACAGGAAGTTAGAGTCATATTTTACTTATGCTTACACTGCTTTGGCTTTATTTAGCACAATATAGTGAACAAACCCTAAGTGTTTGCTAATACCTTAAAACTTCCAGTGATACCCCTTGTGGCGTGCAAGAATTTAGCCAATTACAAAGTTAGAGGGAATCGTCCACACAAGACTGCCTTCACTTCTGATACCAATTGCAAGCTTAGAGGATTCCTAGAACCATTCTCAGGTTCAGTAATTTGCTACAAGACTTCACAGAACTAACTGGAAACTGTTATAGTGACGTCTATAGTTTATTATAGGGAAAGAGTACAGATTAAAATGCCAAGGGAAAAAGTGCATAAGGGTAGAGTCTGGGAAAGGTACCAAAGGCTGAGCTTCTGTTTTCCTCTCCCTGAGGAGTCATGGACAAGTTATTTTCCCAGCATCCATCTGTGTCAATACTCTCAGGGTATTCCCAAGCAAGGAAGCTCACTGGAGCCTTGGTGCCCAGAGTTTTTATTGAGGTTCCATCACATACTGCCCATGTGGCTGACCTTTACTTTCCAGACCTTCTGGAGGCAGAACTGATAACCACATGTCCCAGAGCCTCCAGGCAAACAAAGATACTCCTGTCCAGGTATGACATTCCAAAGTCCTGTGGATCATCTCCCAGTAGCTGAGGGCAAAATCAGTCCTCTCTTTGGGTAAGATTAATTCCTCAGTATACGAGGTGCCATCTGCAAATTTAGTAACGTACTTTTGGAGATTCTAGCACTTTATTTGAGGCTATACCCTGAGAATATATGAAAGCTTTCTTCAAGAAAATGTTGTGCATTTCTGTTCAATGCAGTGGTAAGCTTTCATTATAATTTTCTTTATTATATCCTTCATAAATACCTCTTTCTCTCTTCATTTCTTCTTTCTACTTACCAACCCCTATGCCCTGTCTTGTACTTTCTGTTTTAGCTAAGTCAGTGTTAAAGAACGCTTAATATAAGATACCTGTGTTTCACTGTTTATTTCTGATGAATAAAAACAATTATGGCTTATTTTCTCACTTTCCACATAGCATTTTAATCTACTAAACACTTTTCAAATATTCTGTCAAGATTAACCAAGTCTTAAAATCTGGGGGATATTTTCTCCATTTTCCAGGTGGAGAGATTGGGCCATAAAATTATTTCTTCAAGACCAAGTTAGGCTTAGGATTAGTTTCCCTGTTCTACCTAAATTCTGCAAATGGCGTAACTTAGTTGCTGAAACCAAATTTCATTATGTTCAAGCCTCAATGATTTTATGATCACAAGATACCTGAAACGAAGGTCTTATTACATTTATAGATATATCAGGTATATGTGGAAAGGGTAAGTTTTGTTGTAGATGTATTTTGGTCTACTTCATTAATTCAGTATTCTGCTATAGCAAAATAAATGAAATGCTGCTTTGAATAGAAATAGTTAAATTTGGACACTAACAATGCTCTTTCCTCATTACTGTTACGTTCTGCACTGCTGTCTTAGGATGTCAACCATGGATTAACTGAGGTAAGTTTGGTGTAATAAAGTCTCATGTTCAGAGTAAGATATACTCTGTTTTGTCTTAAGTGATTGAAGACCCCAAAGTTCCTCTTTTTTGTGACTTTAAAATATATATATATGTATATATACATATATATTTTAATGAGTGTATAGAACTTGCCCTGTATAACATTTCAGAGGAATTTTCTGAAGAAAATTAGACCCTCTGCTTTAGTTAGCATTACACCTATATATGATGCCTTTTAACAATGTTTGTCTTAAAATAGTTCCTATCCTCCTAAAGCCTTCCAGTATAAAATTTACAGTGTCCTCAGAATACAAAAAAGCAAACTTATAAAATTTCACAGATGCCTACCCAGAAGGCAGAAAATGTTTTATGTTGGAGAAGTAGAATGATTTTCAATTTTTAAACTAATAATTGACACTCAAAATGGCCATAAAATAGAATAAACTTTCAGTATGGTCATCTCCCTCACTTTGTTTAATGTACTATCTTAATATATAAAGTTCTGGCACTTTGGCTTACATAATCAACAATCCTGAGCCACCTTTTTAATACCTGGGAATGTTGTATTATACTTCTGTTATAGACTTCAGGTTTTGTTGTTTGCTTTGCTTTTTTCACAGCACTTGAACCAATGAAGCATTTAGAAGTAGCTTTAAACTATGGGCCTGACATTGTTTGCTTCCTCATCCTCAAATAGAAGCAGCACATAAAATTATGAGATCAAAGAGTTTTGGAGCCAAAGGGGACTTTAGAAATCATCTCAGTCTTTTAGAGTTTCAGAGTAGTAAAAAGACTTTCTATCATCCATAGCTAGTTAGTGACACAAATACAGGGTGGAGGGTAAACTTGTCATATGAGAAATAGCCAAGAATGATAACTTACTTAAGGGTTAATGTCGCTCAGCATATTGTCTTTCATGTTGAGAACAACAAGTTGATAGTCTTGTGTTCTATACTGATTGGGCACTATTGAATTATTTCATTGTTTTTGATGGCCATAGTTGAAAGAGGCTTAGACAAATTGAAATACATTTAAAAAAAGGTTACTGGGGACTTCCGTGGTGGTCCAGTGGTTAAGACTCCATGCTCCCAATGCAGGGGGCCCAGGTTCGATCCCTGGTCAGGGAACTAGATCCCACATGCCACAACTAAGACCCGGCGCAGCCTAATAAATAAATAAATAAAATAAAAGAAGGCGGTTAGGATGGAGTAGAGCTGGAAACCATATTATTTTCAGGATGGTTGGAAAAACGGCATGTTTAGTGTGGGAAAAAGACATCCTAGGGAGAGCATGGCAGCACGAAGTATCTAAACCATATAAACTTCCCTGCAGGGGCAGAATGAAGACTGAAATAGAAAACGAAGTGATGTATAGAAATGCAGATTCAGACTTAATATAAAGAACTTTCTAAGAACTTAAAAAGAAGAGGATTGTTTCATGGTGTATTAAGTCTTCACTGGAAGCCTTATAATAAGAAGGGGCTCTGTGTCAAGGCTGGCACAAAAATTTTGCTTTGTTGGGTATATGGTAGTATAACATCCTCCAACTGCAAGATCTGTGACTGGCAATTCATAGCTCTTTGTATTTTTCTGCCCTGTTAAAAACTTAGCAATCAATCACTATGTTTTACCTGCTAGGATAAATAATTGTTGATAAGGTGACTAATGTCTGATAATGGTAATAATAGATCAGCTATTACTGATCAACTTTGAAGATTGACAGAAAATAATAATACTAATCGTGCTTATTTTGTAAGTTAAATGAATGAACAGATTGTTGGGCTTATAATAGTGTTGTCCCCCTAATGACCTGGCAGTAAATATCTGTTGAATGAATAAGTAGATTGCTTATCATTGGCCTCACTTGCTAGAGTAGCCCTAACATATAAGAACTGGGAACTGTATTTAACATAGGAGCCCCACATTTAGAATAAATTTGCAGCCTAATTCACTGAAACTTGGAGTTAAGATGTTAAGCAAAAGATACCTGTAATTTACAATTTTATGGATTCTCAAGTATACAGTTATCTCCTAAAATTAGGAATTAGGGTTATTCCAATGCCTCATCTAATTATCAGTAAAAATTCTATATTCAGAAATAAGCCACGTTTTACGTATGGACACCAAAGGGGGAAAGTGGCGGGAGGGGGGGGGCGGTGGTGTGATGAAGTGGGAGATTTGGATTGACATGTATACACTAATATGTATAAAATGGATAACTAATAAGAACCTGCTGTATAAAAAATAAAATTAAATTAAAAAAAGAAATAAGCCACATTTTATTTATAATTCCTGAATGACACAAAAGTGAATAAACCAAGAATATGATCAACTTTACACAAGAAATGACAGTACCTACAAGAAGTTACAAACCAATTTGTACTAATAAGCTAATTTTTTATTTCTAGTTGGCAGATATCCCTGTTACAATCTGCACATATCCATTTGTATTTGACGCCCAAGCAAAAACTACTCTGTTACAAACAGATGCAGTCTTACAGATGCAGGTAAAATATTGTATAGTACTAATTTAATTTGAGAGTAGTTTTTGAATTGTTTCTCTGGTGTTTTTTTAAAGTATTTGAAATGTCTTTGGGGATATTTTGTGCCTTTGTGGTCTGTCTTTTGCAAAGCTACTTTTACGGGCTTCCCTGGTGGTGCAGTGGTTGAGAGTCCGCCTGCCAATGCAGGGGACACAGGTTCGTGCCCCGTTCCGGGAAGATCCCACATGCCGCAGAGCGGCTGGGCCCGTGAGCCATGACCGCTGAGCCTTGTGCGTCCGGAGCCTGTGCTCTGCAATGGGAGAGGCCACAGCAGTGAGAGGCCCACATACCAAAAAAAAAAAAAAAAAGCTACTTTTACCAAAGCACCTTTGGTACCTATGAAGAAGACTGTTGCATGTGAAATGTGTATTCTTATGAGGGATACTTATATATATTTAAAAGGACATAGAATAATTTAGATTTTTATCATTTTATATCTAAAAAATGGTATAATCTTCTTTCATTATAGAAATATACAGTCTTTATAAACAGTTTGACTAGTTTACTTGATAAAATAGTTTGTTTCAAATCTTGCTTTATTATATCTTCCCTATTTATATACTTGGTAAGAGATGAAAATCAGTAGAGGTGAGGTGATGTTAAAAAGTAGGAGGCATTTGATCAGTTGTTAGGAGGAGGGTATGAAATGTCCGTGAAGAACGTTTTAGTAATAAATAAGGTACTTTCCTGAGGTTGGTCATCTCCTCTTCCTCCTCCCCACTGTCCTTCCCCTCCGCCCCCCCACTTTAAGCTGAACATTCTTTCCTTTATAATGAGAAATTTTAAAACTAGTTTACATTATGACCGTGAAGGACTACAGTAAGTTTGCTTTATCATTTGGACTTGTAAATTTAAAAGTTTTTGAGTTTCTTCCTCTGGTATAGAATATCAGACTATAGAGGCTGAGGACTAAGGATGAGATGAGACCTTGAACACTTAATAGTCTAAAAATGCTTTTAAAAATTACCCCTCCCCCAATTTTGATGGCAATTTTTATTTAAAATAAATGCGTTTAGTATTCTAAATTCTTCCATATATTTAAACAATAAATAATAGTAGGAGAAATTTTAGAGATGTGCTTATTTCCATTTTCATCAACAGAAGAAATAAATATTTTTGTAGGATTCTATACTAACAGCTAGATTGCTAGTTTTTTAGCAATCTTTGTTAAATGCTAAGTTAATCAGGACTTCCTTGGTGGTCCAGTGGTTAAGTCTCTATGCTCCCAATGCAGGGGGCCGGTGTTCGATCCCTGGTCAGGGAGCTAGATCCCACATGCAGCAACAAAGATCCTGTGTGCTGCAACTAAGACTTGGTGCAGCCAAATAAATGAATAAATATTAAAAAAAAGAGAGAGAAAGAAAGTTAATCACTTGGTGCTTTCAATGTAGGATATTCCATTTTAGAATTAAGAACACAAGGAAAATCATAGGAAAAAAATAAAAGCTTTAAATGGTAAAAGCCAAATGCTTGGTTTGTGAGCATATATGGTGATAACTCTACTAAATGAATTTCTATAAACCTTTTAGTTGGCCAGGCTGTTTCTTTTTCTCTTTAAAGGGTTGTTTTAATGCTTTTTAATGCTTTTTAATGTTTTCTTTTTCTCCTCACTCTCCATCCTAGTTATTTTTTGAGAAACAACAGTGTTCAGATTTATCATAATTATTACAGTTCCATGCTTACTTAGCTTAATGGTATCATCAGTTATACATTACTATAAAAAAATTCAAAAGGATACTCTTTATGCTCAGTTTATTAAGCTCTGATGCTGTGCTGAATACTGTGTTAGGTGCTGTGTGAATTCAGTAGTATAGGAATTATAGGATATCTATAATTAATAGGTAGAGGTTAGCTTATTCAGTCACAGCAGCTTCTTTATAGCATTGCTATTAAATTTTTACTCTTTTGTTTTCTAGATGGCTATTGACCAGGCCCACAGACAGAATGTCTCCTCTCTTTTTCTCCCAGTGATTGAATCTGTGAATCCTTGCTTAATTCTAGTGGTACGTAGAGAAAATATAGTAGGAGATGCAATGGAAGTCCTTAGGAAAACAAAGAATATAGACTACAAAAAGCCACTCAAGGTAATTTAACATTTTCTGTTGTATAATTGGAACTTTTATTTAGAAAATATGTTTAAAGTTTTCCTGTTCATTTTTAGTGTATCTTTGAATCTTAATAAAATTACATACTTAAAAATTTTTTAGCTATTAATTGCCACGCTTTTATTCGTAATAAATAACGTGTTGTAGGGTTTCCAGAATATACGTTCATTTCTTTACATTCAGTGTTTGCATTAACCTGTTTTAGGTTATATTTGTTGGAGAAGATGCTGTTGATGCAGGAGGGGTACGCAAAGAATTTTTCTTGCTCATCATGAGGGAATTATTGGATCCTAAATATGGCATGTTTAGGTATTATGAAGATTCCAGGCTCATTTGGTTTTCTGATAAGGTAAAAAGTCCAACCGTCTAAATTACTTCTATATCTATCTGTCTGTCTGTCTGTATACACCTATGTATATATACCTATATGTTTCAACTTAGCTCAGTAATAAATAGGAGTTATTACTGGATACCTAACATTTTATTTACAGATCTTCTTTATTACAATTTTAAAAATTATAAACGTTTGGATTCAGAGTCATCAGAACACATTAATGCTTACCACACATTTCAAATTAGCAAAATAAATTACGGAATGGTCATCCTGAAAATGATGTTGACTGTTCTGCTGAGTTAGATTTGAGGATTGAATAAGTACCAGATGAACTTTTCTTCTGGGGAGAATTAATTTATCATTAGGGATCATTGATTTCTCTACCTTATAATTTAGGGCAGAGGTAACTACTCAGCAAACTACAGTCCCTGAAAGTTCTTCCCAGCACATAAAGTCAGTGCCTACTCATTTATCTATCGTCCATTGCTACTTTCTAGCTAAAACTGGCAGAGGCAGAGTGGGGAGTTACAATGAGCCCCTATGGCCAACAAAGCCTAAAATATTTACCGTCTGCCCCTTTACAGGAAAAGTTTGCCGGCCCCTGATTTAGAAACTGTAAGTGAAATGGATGGTTCAGTTTGTAGAACTCTGAGTTGAAAGAAATTTGAATTATTTACTGTTTGTTCTAAAAACCTTGATGTATTATTTATTCATTCTTCCAGGAGACTGGCTGTCCTTTGTGATGTTAGCAGTCATGATGATCAGTGCCTAGGCTAGTTAATTTATTAGGGGTGGCAAAATGGTACTACTCTTACTCTAACATTTCTTTTTCATTTTTGTAGCTTGGATACTTACATGTAAAGAAATTTTCTCATATCTGCTATTTAATCCTTATTAGTACAGTTCATATGGGAAAGAATTCTCTCTGTAGTTATTTTTCAAAAGAATTAGCATGCTCCAGTGGTGACAATTCATTTTTTGATTTTGTTTTCGAATATTATTATATATTCATGGACTTAAACATAGTTGATGTTTTTCAGTCTGTTGCAGTTATTATCTTCATTAATATTATCCCACTTTTGTCCAGGGAGAGCTCTTCAACTTGGCACCTGAGTCCTTTTGACACAATCTTAATACTGTTTAGTAGCTTCCTTGCTACCTGGTGTACTTGGTGTGATAAAATGTTCCAGACTTATACATTTATTGCCTAACAATACCAACCTTTCAACCAATATTATGATAACTGAAAATATAGTTGACCCTTGAACAACATGGATTTGACCTGTGTAGGTTCACTTATACGCCGATTTTTTTCAATAAATACATACTGTGATACTATACGGTCCTCAGTTGGTTGAATCTAAGGATGGAGGACTGACTATAAGATTGTACTCAGATTTTCGACAGCACAGGGGATCAGCGCCCCAACCCCTGAGCTGTTCAAGGGTCAACTGTAGTTTTGTTTTGTTTCATTTTTAAGTATTTTGCAGGGTTTTTTTGCCCTTTGAGTATACCCCAGGTGAGATACACAGGCAAATAACTGTGTTTTTTGTTTGTTTGTTTTAACATCTTTATAGTAACTGTGTTTTGATATCACTTGAAATTGGTACACTCTGTATCATTATACCAAGTAGATACACACGTAGGTTAACTTGTAGAATTTTTAATTTTTAGGGATTGCTTGTTTAATTTCAATTTAGTTTTATAGTTATATGAAATAGTTATAATAGTTCCAAAGTCAAGTCTACAAAATAACGTATCTAAAAAAGTATAACTTTTGTCTCTACCCCCTCCACTGTACTTCCTCCCTCCTCTTAAAGTTATTCTTTTCAAAAGGAATGTTACAGTTTAACCGTTTTTGAAAAAATAAATATAAGTACGTATGTAGTAGTATACCACATACCAATGTCAGTTTCCTGGTTTTAAGTATGGTTATTTAAGCTGTTATTATTGGGGAAAACTGAGTAAAGAGTACAGAGGAATTCTGTACTATTTGTGTAATTTCTTGTGAGTGTTAAAGTATTTGAAAATAAGAAGTATTTTTAAAAAGAAGTGCTATACTATACATGTTTTTTTCTTCATCAAGAAAGGGTATTTTATTTTACATGAGAAATTAAAGCATGTTTGCATGTTGTTGTGATGAATTACTCAGAAAGTAGAAAATCAGCTATGCAGGAGGGGATATCAGCTGCAGGAGCACAGTCCTTAAATTGTGAAGAAAAGATGCAGATGAGTATGCTAGTGGAGGATTGACTCTAATCAGACACATAGATCCATAATATCATGAGAGAAAGCCAAGTATATATGTAAGTACAAATCTTCTGGTAGATTTGATGGTGGGAGGTTGTGCAAGTTCTCTTAGAATTATTTCTACTTTACAGTGAAATAAGACGCAAGTTTGTTAGAAAGTTCGAATAGGGGGAAGGTTGTTGGAGGTTTGAAGAAGAAAGGAGAAAGAGTGAAATAATCACTTAGGGGAGTGGGAAAATAAGATGACCATGTAAATAAATACAGGGTTAGACTGGTGGCATTGGAGGCCCATTTGAAACGTACGTTCATGAATTTTAAAAGGAGACCAATCAACATGGTTGTGTTTATTTTCTTTAGTCACATTTAGCTGCTTAGGTAGAGGTAAAAATGAAACAGACAGTTGATTTAACTAGGTTGTGGTTTTAGCAAGTGAGTATAAACAGAAGGGAAGAAAGAGCAGGGGAATGATTGATTATCTTGATGGATTATAGAATTTAAGCTTTGTAAGGAGGAAAATGTAAGGACTTGGTTGGGAGGTGATGATTTTTTAAAAAGTAGTGTGGTTAATGGCTTGTAGTTGCTGGTGGAGTTGAGTTGTAGTGTGAGTCAAAGTATTGGGGGGGGTGAGTTACAAAGTAAGAAATGATGGTCAGATAGGGAATGCTTAAAATTTGGGTGGTTGCATTTAAATATAAAATATGACCATGGGAATGGGTGTCTGAGATGTGATGGGAGGACAAGACGGTTGGAAATTTTTTGTTGGAAAATTGCAGTTTAAGGAACTGAGAGGCTAGTGTGTTGGATGCCTTTTTTGGCCCGGGTATTGAAATCGTCAAAAACGATGGCAGGAATAGTGGTAGAAAAAGAAAGCAAAAGATAGTGCCAGAATCTGTGAATGAGTGCACTGTGAATGTCTGTAGATGTCAGCACAAGGAACAGTAGCAGGGAAAATGGTCAGTTGGCATGTGTTTGACAGAAGCTGGGATTTTAAGAAGGCAAATGGAAGGAGGTCTAGAAGGAGTGAAGAGCCAGGAGACCTCTCTCTAGGCCTGGTTGTATGAGGGGTTGGAAGGTTAAACAAACACCATTTATTATGAGCTGCAGGGGAAACAGCATCTTCAGGAGACAGCCTTGTTCATTTAGAAAAGGGGCAAGGAGAATTTGGAGAAGTTTAGGATATAGGCAGTTTTCCAAATGATAGATTGTGAGTTCCAGAAGAGAGAAGGGGTCTGGTGGAGCAGGGACAGTTAGTAACATTGTATCAGATTTTAGGGCCTGTACACTGCCACATGGAAGTGGGATTAGGGACAACTTGTGAGTTTTTAGGCCTCCTTTGTTGACAGTTAGGCATGTAAGACATGGTTGAATAGTCCTGATGGCCTCTGAGGTAGGTGGACAATCTGTTCAAATTATGGTCTCTTTCTTGGCGCTGATCTCTTAGGGCAGTTTGTAGTGGTGTAGCAGATAGAATTTGAAGAGTGTCCGTGGGGTGGAGGCCTGTCTGCCAGGAACACAAAGAGTTCTATGGGCCTCTATTCAGTTCTGCAGAAAGGTAATGTTTTGAGACCAGGGGAGGGGCAGTCGTAACAAGCTTTATTGTATATCTTTGTGGGTTTTTTTGGCCGTGCCCTTGAGCCATGCGGGATCTTATTTCCCTAACCAGGGCTCAAACCCATGCCCCCTGCAGTGGAAGTGCGGAGTCCTAACCACTGGACCAGCAGGGAATTCCTTGTGGATCTCTTATACCTTTTCAGTTATATCTTGATTTGGGCAATCGGAGCCCCATAGAGCTGCTCTTCTGTGTACTTTTGACATGTTCCCATTATTCTTTAATTATTCATTACATTTGGTACAGAAAATGTTCCAGGCTCATTTTGTGTTTTCTCTACCCCAGTCCTGGCATTAGCCATTTCTCCTAAGAGCCCTGACTTCTTTAAGTATAAAATGGTATTTAGAAGTCAAGCTCTGGATGCTACGTGTATTCATTGCTACCAAGGAGTCATTGCTTTCAGAGTCTCACAGCAGACAGAACTAGGAACTATATGTATGTATACACACATGGCATACATCTCCTGGATTTCAACATGTAGGATATTTATATATATGTATACATGTACACACACATATTTGTGTGTGTATATATATACATACACACATGTTAAAAACCATGAGATGATACTGACACCTCTAATTCTATACAAACACCACAGAGTTTACTTTAGCCTTCTCCCTTTCCATTTTATGTGACTTAAATCACTAGTGAGAAACTTAACAGCCATCATCTTCCAGGTATTTACTCAGTAAGTAGCTAGTCTTCTGGTTACATTGGCCAAAAGCTTAGCCCCAGACATACTGGACCACCTCCTCAGAGAAGGTGTAGGAAGGAAGGAGGAAGGCAGAGGGCTATATGTTCTTTTTAATTTAATATTATTTTTAATGAGGTAAAATTCACATAACATAAAAGTCATCATTTTAAGAATTTTAAAATGTACAATTCAGTGGCATTTAGTACATTCACAGTGTTGTGCAACCATCACCACTCTCCAGTTCCAGAACATTTCATTACCTCAAAAGGAAACCTGTAGACATTAAGCAGTTTCTCCCCATTTCCTTCTTCCTTCAGTTTCAGACAATCACTGCTTTACTATCTATCTCTGTGGCTTTGTCTATTCTTGATATTTGCTGTTAATGGAAACCATATAGTGTATGGCCTTTGGTGTCTGGCTTCTTTCACTTAGGATAATGTTTCCGAGGCTCATCCATGT